TCCAGCAAAAGAACTATGTCGATTCACTTTTTGTGTGTGAACCAAAGAACATCTCGGATTTAAAATCATCGCGTGCTTAAATCACCAAAAGGCAAATTTCGCTCTTCGTACTACCCTGTATCTCGTTGCCCCAGCCCTCATAACATTCTTCAGTATTACAATATTCATTTCATCAACCTATATTATCACTAAACCACACTTTAACCAGTTTTTATAGCACAATATTTGCTTTCTCGTGTTTTCCCTCACGACCCAGTGCTGCAGGTGCACCCCTTTCTTACACTTGTCAGATTGCGATGAACCCGTCTCATTTACATTCTGATTATGGAGCGTCAAAGTAGACAACCCCATTTTCTCATTTTCTGCTGGTAGATTTTCGGGATTTTGGACTTTGCGTATAGCATTTTCAAAAACGCAATTTTCTGCTAGCAGAAATTTGGATGTTACTTTAACAACTCTTCGTGGCGCGTCAAAAGTGGACAACTAAAACCTTCAATTTCCCACTGGCAAATTTCATTTGATGCTCCCAAAGAGGACAACTCCATTTTCTCATTTCTGCCCGTAGATTTTCGTTTTTTTTTTAAGTTGCGCCACCCCTTTTCATAAAACCCAATTTTCTGCTAGCAGAAATTTGGACTTTACTTTGACGACGACGGGGTGGTCCAAAAGTGGACAAGTTGAAAATTGAAACGACCGCAGCGCTCCCTACGCTCAGAATGGAACGGTCTTGGAAGATGGGTTAGTCATTGACCCTCTACATTAACGGTAGAGGGTCTTATGGATGGCGTCGCAGAAAAAATGTGGACGATTCCCATTGAGAAACTTGCAAATACGAAAGGGGCTGTCCAAAGCCTGGCAGTCCTTTATAGTATACTGCGAGCTTCCTACTTCCCACCGCACCGTGTAATTGGAATGACGATGGCGGCTTGCCGTCGGGAATTTCCATTTTAAATAAATGAGCGCATTGTGATATGTCCCCTGTACGATGCTAGCTGTAATAAACCATTGTATCCATGCCTAGTAGTATAATAAAATTTGTTGTGGAAGGATAAAAGGTTGGAATTGAAAAAGTCATGTCAAGAGAAGAAGCTTAGTGCTGTTTAATCAAGTGAACCAAGATTTTCAAAAAGGGGAAAATAGAGAAAGTAAAATGGGAAACATTAAAATGCAACTTGAACTTGCTGAATTTATTTTGACATCCCACAAGTTCCAAAACACGTATTCAGCCAATAATTCACAAAACAAAAAGGATAGCCACGACGAAAATAAATCTTTCAGCCAGTACACTAGTCGGTCACTGATATGACACCAAAGATTTCATTTAACATTTATCGTTCAAATCTTTGTTCAAGTCCTCAATACAAGTGGGCAGTAGAGGCCTGGGATTCAAAGTGACAATGTAAAGAGATATTAACGCAATGAAAACACAAACTTGCAAGTAACGGCCCAGAGCAGTCATCATATGCATGTACTGTAAAATACATGGATGGTGGATTGTATAACAAATCTTATATCTGAAGATCAAAAAATTGGTTGTTCACTTTTGCCACTCCGAGTAACTTCCACCATAATCAGTTCATAATTTTTGTTAATCTTGGACATACTAGTTTCAAAAATTTCCTTTAGAATAATCATCCCTCTAAACTCCCACAAAATTCACATCCTTAACGTAAAAAAGGCCCGATCTTTTCCACAAAATCGGCTATATAGAGATGGAAATACCAGTTGCATGAAAAAGACCAATCACAGCAAGGGAATGTCCAAATGACACCTGATGCCCGTCGATGGACGGCGGGTCAATACAATGGGTTGGCTCCACAAGTTAAGTTTGCGGTACTACATGTACAAAGGACTGTCACTCTGGCAGCCGCTTCCCAACTGTCGTCCACATTATAAAACTTTTTTCTGGGTCCGGTGATGCCAATCTCAAGTTCCTAAGACCGTTCCATTTCTACGTCGGGAGAAAAGTGTCCTTTCAAGTTTCTACTTGTCCTCTTTTGGACCACCCCGCCGTCGTCAAAGTAAAATCCAAATTTCTGCTAGCAAACAATTGGCTTTTTTTGAAAAGGAATGGTGCAACCTCAAAAAAGCCGAAAATCTATAAGCAGAAAATGAGACAATGGGGTTGTCCACTTTTGGAGCATGACAGTAATTTTTGCCAGTGGAAATTTGAAGTTTTTAGTTGTCCACTTTTGACGCGCCACGAGAGTTGTTAAAATAAAATCCAAATTTCTGCTAGCGGAAAATTGCGTTTTTTGAAAATGCTATACGCAGAGTCCAAATCCCGAAAATCTACTAGCAGAAAATGAGAAAATGGGGTTGTCCACTTTTGACGCTCCATACTTAGATACTGTAGGTTTCTATTTCTTGTTCCCATTTTTGGTTGATCTTCATTTGTTTGTTTTTCGGAGACTTTCGTTACATAATATCTGTGCAGACATTCTTGGAGTGGATCTAGGCCTTGTTTTGGCTCAAAGGGGATGGTTGTAGTAGCTTAGACAGATTGGAAAGGTGTATTGTTTTCCAATGTTATTTTCCTGTTTTTTTATACTTTCCAGTCCGCCAAGAGAGGATCGTAAACCCTGTACCTTCCCTGGCACGTCCTGATTAAATGATAATTGGATGAATATCCAACCCATCGAAACACAACCCTATACCCAACCCAGCCCAATCCAACGTAATCCAACCCTACCCTACCCAATGCAACCCTACCTTACCAAACCCTACCCAACCGAAATGATGCTTTCAGAAACTGTGATATGTCAGTTCATGGTCGACCTGTTGGGAGCATAAGCAGTTTTCTCGGAACACCTAAGCAGACCCGTCTTGCAAATTGCCAATTTACTTCTGATAAACATTGTTAACAAGATTTATTCTGTAACAGAAACCCTCACCTCTATCAGTCATAATTGAGACCGCACATTAGACAAATATGGCACTGCAGGAGTTTTCTGGACTCCAAGATGATCATTGTAGTCGGACTGAAGGACAATATTATTAAATCCAGCAGAGACCCCATGGCCCATTCCATCTTTACTTGTGATGTCCTGCTGATACCTCTGCGCTTGAATTATTGCTGTGTGGTACGTGCAGTCCATCATACACAAGGTACCTCTACTGTTCCTATCGTGGCGTTTTCTTTCAACTTGTCGAATAAAATATGTTAACGATAAGAAGATGCTATTGGCTTACGTCAAAAACACCAGACTGACAACTGGATTAACGAACGGAGATGTAATTTTCAATATTCGGGGCACTTCACGGAGTAAGGGACCGACAATATAAATGCATAATTTACCAGTTAATTTTCCTCGATGTCTGCTATTTACTAAATTAGGTTTCAATGAGAAGTGTAATTTCTTTTGGGAATCGCACGACAGAGGCGCTTTTTGAGCACCAACTCGCTGTCTGCCCACCCGTTCCTCCAGCAAAGAGAAAGGGAGTTCGCCCTCACTCGGTATCCTTGGACGCACTTTTTTCTCGTGGCCTCCGAAGCTGATAAAAGACGGTTGGTTGTATCCACTGTAGTTATTTACAATTCAAAAATGCCAAATGAGAGGTAGAAAGTGTGTATGTTTGTCGATTGATGTGGCAATCATGCTATTTGGCTATACACATGATCCACGAGTAGGTTGAACATGGGGGGAGGGGCTGCACTCAGTATTGTAAGGAGTGATGGTGTTTAGACACTTGAAGACAAGTATAGCGTTTTTATATTTGACTCTCTCAGAGAACGGTACCCAATGTAGTGTTGCAAACACATCCAGTGTAGGGGTCAGGAAGGAGCATTTAAGGATTCAATTTAAGGTACATTTAAAGGTTCAACCCATTCACGGCAGGTGTCCACAAAAAGTCGCAAAAAATTACGCTAGTCTGAACTGTAAAATGAAACTGACAGGAAGCACTTTATTTTAACTGACATTAGGCTTATTTCTGTGAAAAGGGGTTACAGTATCTATTTATGATGTACCTGGATATGGTAATTCTTTCAATTTCTATATACAAGAAATAAAACTTCTACTTCACCCTTTTAGGAAAAAGGTTAGGAAACCTTCGTATAAGAACAGTATTTTTGTGAAGTCCTAACCGCGATAATAACTCTTTTTACAAGTTTTACAAACCGTAAATCAGCACGGATTAAAATTCTTTCCAAGGGTATGGGAAACATACATCCAGCCCTGTGGTGTTTATAGGAAAAGATGTTATAAATAATCAAAGAAATTACCATTCGTCTTTGTTATATAATAAAGTGTACACGACAAAGTTTGTCATAACAGAAACTGTATTATGGGGCACTAAGGCCAAACCTCATTTTATATAATTAGGGAATAAATATGTGCTTGGTCAGTCGTTTAAGACTGTATCTAATAATGACTTGAGCCACGAGTACCTGAGCGAGTACCTGAGCCACGAGTGAGAGACATTATCAGTGTCCATACTCCTTGGCCAAACACATATTTATTCCCATTCATAAATACATGTACCTTCAGTCAAAACAAGTTTAAAAAGTTATAAATTTCCAATGAGTTCGTTCAAAAATTTTCAGCTCATTTTTTTCAAACGCCATTCGGACCATGTTGCAAGTACATGGAGATGGCACATTTGTGGTGCACACAACATGAGGTGGTGCAGAACATAAGGAGCCTGTGATGAGGGCCATTAAATAAGCATCCATTCTCTGGAGCCGGTCTGTTGAAGACTGGCAAGGCATATGTATACATTCCAACTGATAAATATTATCTAAGTCAGATTCAAACCAGTTAAAAAGTTATAAATTTCCAGTGATTTTGTTGAACAATTTTACATCAGTTTTGTCAAACAACCCTCGAGCAATTTAGGGTATGTGCCCCTCACAAGCTGGTTTAATCTATTCAAGACTGACAACATCAAGGTCGGACAAGGAAATATCACCGGCATTGATTTCAAACTACATGTATTGCTTTCCGTTTGGCAGGTAATTTGCATTAGTTCACCAATCTTGGAAATTAAAAAAAGTGTTCTGAGCTTACAAAATCAGATGTAAAAGGGACACCAAAAAAAATGGACCCCTAATTTCTGGAATTACCCACATACAAGTTCTTTCAGCAACCATCCCACATATAAAGTTCTCAACCAAGAACAGGAAGGTACGAACAATCAACCAACTTTTATAAGATCTGCTGGTTTTTGATAATCCAAAAAAAATCACTTTCTTTTTACAAACTCTCTTCCTTTTGTACCTCCTACAGTAACCCAGCATGCATGTTACTGGTTATCATGAAACACTGGCCTCTCTTTTCCTGAGGAAGGGGCAAAAATCCTTAGAACTGGCCACATTACAACTTTGAAAGTGGTGTTTAATTTTTTGCTTTATTCTTTCAGTTGTTCAGTGACTAAATAAGCATCAGTTTATTTGCAGTTGCTAGAGGTCAGAAATTTCTTCAAGATTAATACTGATCCAACATGCCTAGGGGCCGTCAGTCAACACAAACATACATGTACACATGTATGTACCGGTAAAAGTGTGGATACATGCATCTGTGGCAGGCAAGTTGGGATTTCATCTCCTGTGGGGCTTTTCTGGTGCTGAAACAAGATAAAAACACAAATTATTCATATGACATGCCTTAAACTGCATGTGCTTTAAAGTTACTATATTGAGTGTATTTTTGGAATGAGCAAGGGAAAATGGCCCCTGTGGCCAAAGCAGAGGAGGAAGCATGAGGTGCAATTGAGGCGTTAACCTGTCGGCCACACCTGTGTTCTCAGATAGCAAGCTCATATTTACATGTCATGTGGCATGATATGGTTAGAGGCTGAACAATTTTACAAAGAACAGTACCATGGTATTACAAATAATTATTACTGAAGTGATCAAAAGATAAGAACAATTTTAGAGTTATAGCAGTGTCTCCTTCACTTGCCTTAGGTTTATTTTCAGCATTGGGCACACAAATATTGTTATACCTCTGTCTTTTATATTACAATACATACTGTATTTTCATTGGCCCAGAATGATCACATGACTGGGCAAATTACCCTTGCCAATCTCCTCAAGCCCCCTTCCAGGACATTAAGGTCCTCTTTACCTGAAGTCCACACTGCTTCCCAGTGTTTTAATTAATTAATTAAGGCCACCTATACCCAAGGCCACAACACCAACCCCATCCAACCTCATCCCCAACTCAGCAAGCATCCAGCATCCAACCCCCTCATCGCTCAAGTTACCAGCGACCCAAGCCAGCCACCCACTTCACGCTCCAGCAAACAGGATCCACCATTCACCACCACGCGCTCCAGTAACCACAAACCAATCTTCCAACACATCCTTTTCCATGCATCATCGATTCCACCCCATCTTGTAAGTCAGTGCTCAACTCTATTCTGGCATCTCTCCTGAGGACAACCCCAGCATCCTGGTCAAAATGACGAGCTGACACTCACTCGTCCTTCTCAGAATTACCACTCTTACAGAAGAGATTGATTTCTCACAGTGCACCTGCAAACCTTCTCTCAGTCTAGCCTCCACCCTGTAGTTTCAAATCTTACTTATTATATGTAGGCTTCTTATCTGTGTTCAACTAATGTTGATACGAGTAAACTCTAGTGGGAGCGGTGAACTGGCCCTACGATATGCTCAGCTATTGATGTGCAGTAACTTTATGTTGATGATTGAAATTTGTTTGAAATTTGTTACTTTGTATAAATTCTTTAACATAATGCCTGCTGAGCTGAAGACAAACATGTACGCAAATTTCTCTACAAAAATAGGTTTTAAACTCCTGGGTTTAGTTTCTTTAGAACAAAACAACTGTTGACCATTTTAAGGTGTATGTGATATAACTTGTTGTTGTACCTCTGTTTGAAAGTCTTTTCATTGGCCCACAGCAATCATGTGACAGGGCAACAAAAACACACGTCACGTTCACCATAAGACATCACATTAGTGGCCTTGTATGACATTACACGTGCACATATATGCATGCACGCCTACTAGTGCCCTTGTTGTGTACAGGGTAATTCAGGAATTGCTTAACACTATAGTTCAAAGATTCCTTTGCGGCCCTTAAAACATCCAGATGAAGATAAAACAATTTTCAAGCTTTTTTTTTTAACACACAGCACCTGAGGCTCTGCGGGTCAATGCATCACAGGTACTACGATGTGACTGTCATCAGCCTATATACATGAGCCTAAGCAAGATACATTGATTGTACAATCTCCTTCATAATGTGTGAGAGACTAAATTTCAATGTAATGAACACGAACAGATCGCAACTTTTGTGAAAAGAAATATCTGACCCTGAAACTGGGAGCAGGATCGAAATTGGGAGCAAGATGAAAAAGAGGTAAGGTTTTACCCACAAGGGATTCAATAAGCATGGTTCCACAACAACTGTGTCTGAATTTTCAAATGTATCACTGTATTATATAATTTTTAAAAATGGAAAAAAAGAGCACTTACGGGGTTCTGACATTTTGATGAGGATAGGCTCCAGAATGTCTGATAGTGTTTGTTTCTGCTTGTTGAAGTCCTCAACATTCAGGTTCTCACCACCGTTGTCCAGCCACTCTTGCTTCTCTATGCAGGCATTCAAAGCAGTCATCTGGAGCAAGAAATGTCTTGAATTAGGATTAACTTATTATTGGATGAATTAATAAATTACAATACTTATTTTTTTCATTAAATTCTTTGCGGTAGAATGAATTTCACAGTTTATTTAAGACACATTCTTTGCATGGATAAGACTTAATTTTGGATTTTGCCCTTCCCGACGTGCATTTTTAACACTGTATGCTCAGTGTATGCCCCCAAAAGCTTGTGAAAAACCACAAGCGTACTAGGTTGGGACTTGAACCCACTACCTCCTGCTTACTAGTGCAGATGTCCTAACCACTCCACCACCAAGCTTGCTGGTGTCAAACTGCTCGAAAATGCGCTCGGAATATGGACACAATTTTGCCATGCAAAAGGTAGACACTATAAATTTTAGATTAGATTGAAACTCACTCCAGAAATCCTCCTCTTTATCACCTTTGCTTGATTTTCTTGAGCAAATGGCATAGCTAGAAGAAATCTTCGATACCTAATCTATCTAAAAATCTAAACAACTGCAAGTCAATTTTTTCATTATTTTTTACGTATATATAACTTCAGGCACCGATTACTCAAAACAAGGTTTTGGGGAACATTCCTCATTTTGCCATCGGAGGTCAAATACGTGCTTTAGGAGGGGCCACACCATCCACTAAAGTAAAGTTTGTTTTGAAAATTTGATCACAAATCTAAGATTTTTCAACACTGGAACTGCAAAAAAGACCTTCCAAGTAAGTTGTTAGTCTCCAAATTAAAATGTTCATGCTTCACGTAATCATCAAATGCTGACCATAAAAGTATATTGTACATTTGAACCAGACATGTAACACTAACGAGCAAATAGCATGTACTTTGCAAGCACTGGCTGGGGGACGGAAATGAAGGAAAACAGTAAAGGCGCCCTCTATAAACACCATAGCAAAGGGCGGCAGTGCACAACGTGTCGCGTCGTGCTTCATGCGACGTAATAGGCGACGCGATGCGCGACATGACATACGACACAGTGCACGACGGCGACGGAAGTTTAGATGGAAAAAAATGCTACAAGAAAAGGACCTAAAGACAGCACGACGTGATGGCACGACACGACGCACGGGAATCCCCTCCTCTTTTACCAAGGGGTAGGCTATTGACTCATCCTCACTTTAAGGTGAGAAGAAAGGCGTATTTTCTTTTTTTTTTTCAAAATTCCCAACAAACAATATTATTCAATATTCAATAGAACTGCAATGGGAAGGAAAATTATAAAAGCTTTAAGTACGCTATTTTGAAGTAAGGTTAGGGATGAACAATTAAAGTGGAGCTGCAATGATTTTTTGTTTTTTGCACAATTGTTCTGCAACTTTGTACTCTTATTTACTAAGAAAACACTTTTGCACTCCAATTTGGTTAAATGCATTGAAAAATACTCTTTTTTAGCTTTGAAAATTTTCCACACTTTCCAGGACAACTGAGGGCACTTTTGCAGTGATGTCGTCTAGGGAAAGACACAGACATAAAATACAGAGTTCAGTGCATAGGTTTTTCTTTTTAAATTGTGAAACCAGAAATATTGAAAACATTCTATAGTAAGGGATTGATGCTTGTGTATTGCTTTGCACATAAACAACAAGGAATCAGCAGAGAAGACAAAATGCAGAACTTTGTTGTGTACAAACCAATGCAAGACTGAGCCTTCCTCCTTGGATGACGTCACAGTTTTGCTCATGAATATGGAAACCTTATTAGCATAAAACTGCCAAAAGGCAGTAAAGTTCTGTGACCATAAAAGTACATTATACATTTGAACCAGACATATAACCGGAAAACAATCACACTGAAGGCCTTTTCTAATCTCAGTGACAACCTACAGTACATCTATATGACTGCTTAATTTCAGCACTTTGTGCCTGATTTTACCAAAACACTTTCATATGTCCAATCAACCATATCTCTGTAGACATAGTGTTAACTGACGATCTGGGGGGAGGGTTAACTATATAATTTGACTGCTGGTAGCCCTGGTTTCCTATTTCAAGTGAATCTGAACACCTGTATATACATGTAGATGCAGCCATTACATACTTGTAGATAGTAGATACCTGCAAAGGATGCACAGTCACGCTACATGCTGGACATTGTTTCACTGTGGATGTAATTTTCCTCAACTCTGAGTAGTTAGCATCAGTTCTAACTATGTTTCTGTTATTTAAAAACCAGTTTGTCATGTTAAGGAAAAGTACACAGAAAATTTGGGAGCCAAGGGGAGTGCTTGCTGTACCCAAACGTTCAGTATAGTGGGGTTTCTTACAGCGGTATACCACTGTCTATGAAAAGCTGCCTGCTAAACTCTTGCCTTGTTTTAAAGACAAGATAATAAACCACTGTCAATGTCGTTATTAAAGTTAGATCTCAGTGCTTTATGAAATTTACTCCAGTAGCATCTCTAGTCTACCCTCCTTGACTTACCCTCTCATCCTTGGTGAGGCGTCCTTGGATCTTCTGAACATCTTCTACATTCTCCTTGATCTCTCTGATGACGGCTAATAGGGAACGACGGGCCTCTGTTGGGAGACAAATATACATCCTTTATACAGAACTTTCTGTCAGTGTTACAAAACAGTATCTAACTTATGTCAAGAATAAGATTTACAAAACAACTTTAACCCAGGGTTCAAATTATGTGCTATTCCAATGTCACTTAGGGAATCAGGTTGGCACAATGACTCTTCCTTGGCTTCCCCAGGTTGGATTCCCCCCTAGGTTTACATGTGGATTGCATTTTCAGTCCCTGCCTGATTCCGTGAAGTTTAAGTTTTCCCCGGAATATTTATCTGAGGTTTGCCTCCCACCTTTAATTGTTTACATTTTATCACTGTCCTCTTCATTGTCCTACATTTTATTCTTGTAATTTGCACTGAATGTGCATTGGATAAACAGAACTTTACAATGCGCTTTCAATTTGTGAAACATTTCATAGATATGTATAATAAACTCTGGCTAAGTCGGCACTCTCGGGACTCAAGAAATTATGACAACTTACGCGAATGCTGACTTGTGCTGTAAGTCATCATTTTGCCGACTTAACATGTACACATGTATTGCCTTCGTACATTATGATTCCTTGCATTAATTCAATGGCTTTGATCTACCCTGGTTGATTTCTACCTCCGTGATCAATCCCAGCAAATTCGTTCTCGATTATTATGTGCCCCTAAGGACGAAGCAAGGACGGCAAGCCACTTGCATGTCACATCACGACTCTACAGTGCAGTACGTACATGTAGGTGATACAGTTATTAAGGTACAGAATACATACACTCATCCGCACACGCATAGGTTAAGTTCGTTCAATAAGGCAACCCCCAAAATGGACAGAGCGCATGCGTGTAGCAATAGAGGGGTTACTGGTATTGATGTACTCATGCTGACCGATTATCAACCATGGCCTGTGCTACTAATGAACAGACATCAGTCAAGCAGTGTGGGACTTGTCACTTGACACTTCTTGGCAACTGAGGCGAAGGAAACTGATACCGAAGCACAATTTTTTTTAATGCCGACTTACACAAAGGAATTTTATCGTTTTGAGGAAAAGGGACCGAGAAAAACATGCCAACTTATACGAAATGATGACTTATAAATGCCAACTTAGAAATGAAATTTTCAATGGAAATGCGTTACAGATGATCGAGACTTTTGCCAAAAGGCTGACTTAAGACGATATGACGAGTTAGGCGATGCCTACTTAGAATTAACTGTATGTGATAGTTGTGGTGCACCACGAAGTAACATACTGTCCATGGACTTTGTACACAAGACAGGACAGTTTGTGATGCTTAAACTACCCATGATGCAAAAGTTCATGATGCAACCGATGAATTGAACCTAACCAGATTTAGAGTCGGGGAAGGGAAGGAGGGTAAAACTGATATTTTTGTCTGAAATAATATTTTTTTAATAAGCTTCCATAAAAGTACATGTACCTTCCTCATTGAAATGAAGGCTATAGAACCATTTCAACTGTTGCCGCTTTCAATTCATCAAAAAGAAAAAGGAAAACTAAATAGGAAGTGTTTGCTTTAAATCTGTGTACAAACACATGTAACGTAGTCAGGGCTTGGAATGGGTGAATCAGTGACTGGAAAGACTGCTTGTATAGCAAAGATTTTGTCTGAACCCTGTCATGTTTGTTGTAGCAGCATTATATGTTGTGTATATGAAAGCATGTTACAAGCTTCTGGAAATCTTCCCAAATCATCCAACATGAATCCTTCCTTCCACAAAATTTATGAAACTCGGGAACCCAGACATGTTGGATCCAGCATTACAAACTCAAAGCAAATGTAACTTTGCTAGCTTACCGGACCAGTCTAAATAACTGGCACACTTTTCATGCTGGTATCGCAATGCTGTCTCACGAGGGCGCTCTCCATGGCTGGTCCTGACCTGAAGGTTGGACCCAAACTGGATCAGGAGTTTTATGCAAGAAAGCTTACCCCAGGCAGCAGCGTGGTGTAAAGCCGTATAGCCTGTAGACAGACACATGCCAATGGGATAATAAAAAACGAGTAAAGTCACAAAATATAGCTAAGCGGAGACAACCTGACTACTCCTACACTCTAGCATACATGACTGCACACATAATAGACTTCAGATTGAAGCCTGCAAGAGAGAAACAGGAGACAGTGCATTCAGTTTGAATGGCAGATGATATAGCCCACACTACAGGACCACAGCACCCAGACAACTGCAGCCCCAAGCTGCCTCGTGCATTCAATTTGACACTCAAATGATTTCTCAAGCATAACTGCTCTTGGGCCAAGGAACTAGCATTATTCAAAGTAAACAGTCTAAAACACACAATATTTGGTAATTTAGGGGGCTGAGAATTCCCCAGTTATATCAGCAAATTATGTGACCTTTGAACCTTGTGCACCTCGTTAGGGCATGATTATAGCAGGGCCCACGTGCACAATTGCGAAGTACTTTCTAGATGTCACACCAGTTGGCTGGAAATGGCCTACATGTACATTGTTATACTTTTTGGCGGGACTGAAGAAGTTTGGCAGGCTTCCAAGGTTTTTTTCGGGAGATTGTAGCCAGGCAACTGGGTGGATAGACGTACTGTAGCTATGGCTTCGCTGGGAATCACATAGGCCTTAGTTATTTGTGTTTCATAAATATATTTATAAATAAATTGTTGACAACGAAATAAAGGGAATCTAGCCCACGCGAAGTATGTGCCTGCCCTGCTCTTTGTTAAGTGAGTTAGCCTCCAAATCCTCCGTCATTGGTGGACGAGCCTCCACCCTCTACACTAGCGAGGCAGGGGACTGGACGCTACAGTAATTCCAAGGCAGTACCAGAATATATCTTTATCGTGTCTTTCAAATGACTTACCATGTCTATTGGTTGGCTTTGTTTGCTGCATCTGCTGAGTGAAGTATTGCCCAAGTTTTAAGTAAGTGTATGATGAACAACTTGCAAGTAGAATCTCATGAATATTTACAAAGTATGCTAATTACTGAGGCTCCTAATAAGCATAACTTGTGCATGAGCGATGGTATTATGTTGATCTCAACAGTTTCACTTTATGTATTGCATGCCCCCTACTGTACCTCTATTTGTTGCTGCATCTCCCTCAGCTCCTTTCTCTAACAGTTCCTTGACCATGTCCTCTCGGTCCAAGATACAGGCCATGTCCAGAGCTGTCTTGCCTGTGTTGGGATTCCTCATGTTGGGGTCAGAGCCCTGGAATTGCAAGCAAATGCGTGTACTTGTAATGTCTTAATTCAATATTCAATAATGAAAAAAACACAAGCAAAACATGCATGGTAAACGGACAAATGCAGACAGGTTGCAAATAAAAGACCCTCCGTTGAATAAAGGTACAAGTTTATCTATTTATATTTTATTTATTCATATCCGTTCATCCAACAGCATACTTAGCACTAATTACAACGCATATAATGAGTGACGAAGACAATGAAGAAACGTTTAGTTTCAGAGGTGGGAGGAAAATCCCGGATAAATGTTTTGGGGAAAACCCGCAGACTCAGGTTGGGGTTGAAAACCCAATCCACAGGTGGACTGCGCCAGATTCGAACCCAGGCCCCCAGAGGCGGAGCGCAAGGAAAGAAACACTACGCCAACCTGATTTCCCAACGTAGTGGCAGATGGGGGGAACCTACAAGTTGTGGCATATTTGTCTGCAACTTTGTTAAACCAGCATTCCTATTATCAAGCCCAGTGTGCAGTCCTAATCCCATTGCAATCTGCAACTCAGCAACCCCCAGTGGCCACACGCAGCTGGAAAGCTCAGTTGACAGGGCACGGGTACAGTATAGACAAAGCTCGCAACTGATTGACCCTTTCAATGGAGGGAAATACTGTGTTGGGTTTTGCTCAGAGCGACTGTCATGGAGCACTTGCTACCGGTGTATGCACTCTAGTTATCACAATGCCTTTCACCATGGAAGGGGGCCATTGGGAATGTCCAGCAGTAGCTTAACTTTGGCTGCTGTCTTCTTTTATCATGGAGGATGCAGGTTTCAGTCACTTTTCTTTGCTGATATATATTCATAACTAAATGCACATGTATGCACTTAATCAGTTTCCCTATATGATGTATGCAGATATTCCATAAATCACAAAAAGAAAGAATGAAATTCCCGGATGCCGCTATTTCTCAATGACAGTCGGCCACTGCAAGTTTTTTTGAAAAACTTTTTATTTGGGGAATGACAAAAACTTCAAGTTTTGCAGTGTTTTAGAGCTGTCAACACAAATACTGGTACACAATAATGTCTCCTTTTCTACTTCAGTGTTTGAATACCTAAATATTTTCCCTGCTAATTTTCACTTTTTAGGTCATGTTATTGCTTTCAGATGGCTAATAGGTTACTGTTGGGAAAAATTAGTACGGCTGAACATGGACCACTCTGCGGTTTCCAATCAATTAATGAGCTATGCTACTGACTGGCCAAGGGATATAAAGCAGTTATCTGAGGAGTGCATGCATGTCACACACAGTGTCACTGTGGAAGATAACTGTCGAAGATCTGTCGGTGCATTCCCTCAGTCATTCTGTTATAATGCATTGTAGTGATTTTACAGAATTCTTGCAATATTTGTAGGTCAAAAAGTTTACAAAAAATCTAAAAACAAAACTGAATCACACGAGTTGAAGTTGGATATTTTGGCCACAGTTCTGTAAGTAGGAGTAGGTACGTTGATTGTGCTTACATAAATCAAAATAATAAGGTGACAGGCCTATTAAACTCAGGCCCAGGCTGGTTTAGGCCTAACTTAACCCTAAAGTTAGATCTATTTTGAAAATGAATTCAAGTCAATTTGGTCCGAGTCAACTCGGTCTCAGGTTAACTCGGTACCAATTCAACTAGGTCCCTATAGAAAAATAAATACAAAGTTGAAGTAGATCCTTCACATGGTCCCTACGTGTATGTGTACGTCAATTTGGACACGAATGCCATGCACTTCAGCTTCCGCTTTCAACTTCAAGCTGTGAACGGGAGATTTGAAGATGTACATGTATGCTTCTCTAATGTTATCATGTTTGCTATTTGGCACAGATTAATTGAATGGCCAGCCGTTGACAAAGAAAAATACTGTTCTTTCCTAAATCTTTCAAAAACTACATTGTACAACATCTCCAAATATAAATAAACACACACGTAGACTTTTCACATTAGGCATTTTTTGAGGGGGATCTCTCACTCATGTAAAGTCTTAAACTTTTCCTACAATGTTTCTTTCACGGTTTCAGTTAGGCCTAATTGTCGTGAGTTTTGGGAGTTTGGGGGAATTGCTCCGTACCTATTCCTTCCAGCTAGCCTGGTGCAGCCACCAGGCTGTTGGAGCACCGTGTCGGCTGGCGAACTAAATGTACATGTACGGTCAGAACTTCATAACTTACTTTTGATTGAGAAAGCGTTTCATTTTGGCAAACCATATTTAAAGGGTTGTTTTCTGGATGTTTCTTAATAAATTTCTTAAGTAGCGTAGAAATGTACAAACATTCGTTTTTACAAAGTGGCTATTTTTTTTGTAACTGTATGGCAACTCCAAAATTCTATGGTTACGGCAGAATTTCTTCCCTATTTTCCTTTGTCATTTTCTTTATTTTCTCGACCAGATTGCATGTTTAATTTCCATAAACGTTTCCTTTTCCTTTTTGATACATTCATACTCCTGGAGGATTTTTTTAAGGGAAACAAGTCCAAAATCCATTTGTTGTAGACTGGTCTGGTTCCTGTTTCCAATGCACCTGACTGGTGTAAGAAGGTAGACAGAAACTTGTCTGAACTCACCAGCTCATGTAATAATAGCTACTGCCTTTTTATTGATCCATTTTTGTCACAATTATGCATGCATGCACATAGATGGAGTTCATCAGTAATTCAGTATACAGGTAATCGTGAAGCACACAAAGCAGCTGTGGCTCAAACCAATCCAACCACTACATGACAGACATGTACTTTGCACTACATCCTGTAGGCCTACATATGAATTATGATTTTGGGGACCGAGTTACCTTGGGACCGAGTTGACTTGGACTGAATTGGTTTTGGTTCAAGTTGGTTTTGGACTGAATTGACCAGCACCTTTCTGTCGACTCAACACTGCCACTGGCCTTCCTAAAAATTTTAACTTTGAAAATTCACGTGCAAAGTGGTGTCTGGGTTTTATATGCTTTCATTGACATCTCAAACTGAACCTTTTCGAGTAGAAGTTTGAGCATCTCCAAGTGACCCTCTGTGCAAGCGATCTCCACAGCTGACCGGCCCTGGTCATCTCGGGAGTTTAACTGACCCTCTACCCGATCGTGGTACGGATCATCCTCCTTAGAAAAACACTCTAGCAAGCGGGCTGCATCTCCTTTCACTGCGCACTGGAGAACGATGTTTAACCGCTTTCCAGATTTTCTAGACGGTGGAGAAGCCTCTGGCTCTTCCTGTAACGGATCAACAGTCATTTCAAAAACAAAAAGAGACACTTTCTGAAAAATTGACCGTTTGCAACTTCCATGTACAGTGTACAGTACAGTGAGACGTCAAAGGCCGTAAACAAATACAGTGTACTATATGCGCGCTATATACATGTATATATGCTGTACCACACTGTCTTTGGTCTCCAGGATGACTATCCTCATACATAATTAGTTATGCTTATCGTAAATAATAAGTATTAAATAAATATAAACTGAATTCTTTTCATTTTAAAAAATTAACGAAGCTATACTTATTTTCGAGTGAAACATTCGCACAATACTATTTAAAGAAACCTCGAATTTGTTTGTATAAATTGTCATTTTGGAAAAAAGTGTTTATGTTACCTAGATGGAAGATTGGCGGCGCTATTCACAATTATAATCTGACGCCATGTTCGCCTCTCCAATTCCACCGTACCAGCAGCCTAGCAGAACTGAAAAGAATAGCCCCACAACATGTACGCGGCGGCGTACATAGCATACTGCAGCATAAAGGTTGAACTTTGAAGACTTTCCTCTCATCTTGACGCATTGGAGTTAATCTCCATAGGCTAAAAGTCTTGTAGATCTTCATTTTCCTGTGTAAGTTTGGATTGGAAGCAACATTTTTCCACCTTCATGACCTTTCAATTCATCGTCTCATTCCTTCAGTTTGTCCTTCCTTATGTTTTGACTTCAACTTCAAGCAAAGTCGAGTCCCTTCCCACCACCCCAGCATTAGCGAATGGCATTCTTGGGCAGTGCGGTTGATTAAAAAGAAATACCGGGCTGAATTTATACATGACTGAGCAGGAACAACACAAGGTCTAACCCACGACCTTCACTCATGGCATCCTTCGCAATCAACCATGCACTTCGCCAATCACTCTCAATCCTCCAAAACCGCCCGAAAGATTTTGGAGGATTGAGGAGGGTTAGGGTTGAGAGTTCTAATTCTCTAAGAGTGATAACCATGTCATTAGACCTAAACTATTTTATTCAAAATTAATGTTAGAAATTCTAAATATCCGCTGCAAATTTGTCAAATTGTCTAAGAATAGGCCAAAAATTAAGACATTAATTAAAGCAAAGGGTCACAGTTACATGTATACTCTGAATTAGACATATGTGGTACGACTTGAGCTAAAACAGCAATTAAGGACAGTAGTTTTGGAAGAAAGAATTAAATAGTGGGCATATTACAAAGAGTTGAACCCTGCTTGGCACATGTCTATGGAGTCCAGAATCTTTGGACTGCGTTGTACTTCTGAAACATGTTACAGTGGGCTAAAATGTGAAATGTTAGTCCTGAAAGATGTTTGACTACAAACTGATTTGTTGCTACATGTGTAATCTCTGACACACTTGAGAGTGACAGACTACATGTAAGACAGTGTCCACACCAGATATTAGGGCAACATGTATCTTTACCATACATGTGTGCCCTAATTGTGTTTAATAGAGGCACATGCACATCTACCTACATGTAAATGTACCTGTCCTTACATACATGTACATGTACATATAAGACTCTGTATTGTGGGTTTAATTGAGGTGCCTTGTCCTTGACTGATAAACAGTAATGGGGTCTGTCCCAGTGACCTTACATGAGGTCATTGCCTACAAATACATCACAGTTCTGTGAGAATGCTTTTTTTAAATGGATACTTTTACATAGTGTTCGCTGCCAGGGTTAAAATCTGCTTGTTTCCACATCAACTTAACATTGTCCTCGCATTCATCCCTGTACAGTACACGTAAGATGGCATTGTACATGTAAATATCGATCGCCTGCAATTTTTTAGGTGGGTCAATACCCAATGAAGTAATCACTGGGTTCCATGTCTACTTTATGCAGTATTCATTTTTACGTGATACGTCTCATATGTTTTCAAATTGTGGATATAGCATCATCTGTGGAGCAAAAGAGGATCACCCTAGCAGCAGCAGCATTGGTCAACGTTTGTTCACTGTTCGAGGCATTGTTCTCACAATGGCGGGAGCCCAACAGGTGTTTGAGACGCCATCCCAGTCCTCGCGCTTTGTCTACACGTCTGACCGCCATCCGCGTGAAACACTGGAGATGATCAACATCTTGCGTCGACAGCGGGAGCTCTGTGACGTGGTCATTGTTGTCAATGAGAATAAGATCTACGCCCACCGGATCATCCTGTCGGCCTGCAGTCCATACTTCAGGGCCATGTTCACTGGGGAGTTGGCAGAGAGCCGGCAGACCGAGGTCACTATACGGGACATTGATGAGCGGGCCATGGACCAGTTGATTGACTTTGCTTACACGTCCACCATAACAGTGGAGGAGAGCAATGTACAGACGCTGCTGCCTGCTGCCTGCTTGCTGCAACTCTCAGAAATCCAGGAAGCCTGCTGTGAGTTCCTGAAACGGCAGTTGGACCCTTCGAATTGTCTTGGTATCCGGGCATTTGCTGATACACATGCCTGCCGCGATTTACTCAGAGTGGCTGATAAATTCACACAACAGAATTTCCTACAGGTAAAGTTTGTCTGTAGCCCTGTTGGCATTTTACCTAAAATTGTCAGTAGCTTCTGCAAGTGGTTGTTAACATCCCATTGTGGTAACTCTTCCACGTTTCTAAAGTGGATTACTTGTGACCCCTGGAAAGTCTCATGGCCAATTAAAACTTGCAATGACATGCCCTCTCAGAGTCTCCTGAGGGTTGCCCTCTGCTTGAACTCTTAATTTGACACCAAATGTTGGAGGTGCAGAATTTTTTGGAATTTTGTTTTGGGGTTACATGGTCAAGTTAGGCATTTTGCAACTCCCATGTCTTTAATTTTATGTACATGCATAGTATTTTATGGGCACGTGTTGGAAAACAAAGGTTAACCGGGTATGCCCTGACCAAGTCATGTGATCAAAATGTAAGTTTTACATTACAGTGGCCACCCTCATGGGACTTTCTGCAATGTAAAAGTGACAATGTAATTTTCTGTAACCAAGGTGGCTGTGTAAAATTTCCCCTGTGGAAGGGTAAAGTGACAACCGGTGTTTGATTCATAACGGTGAGGACATTTACTGGTTGTCTGCATTTTGGATTAAATTCTGTCAAATTGACAACAGTCTTTGAGTTTTATAAAAAAAGTCCAATGCGAACATGGCTTCAGGATGTCACTTTGTTGTCACTTTATTGAAAGAAAATAGAGACTATGATTGATATCTGTATGTTGGAATATGTACTGATCTGGAATGTATTACACATAAAGCCATGGTAACTTTTCTTTGGAAAAGAAATTGAAATGAATGGAAATTGTGATGTACATGTAATTCCCTTATGTAAACAATGCAAGCATTGATCAGCACCTGCAAATAGGTTCCCATTAACTGCATGCATAAATGGTCTCAGAAGTTTATAATTTGTTCATTGGTGACCAGAATGGAAGGCGCTCATAAATGACTTGCCGTCAATCAAGGCTTCCCTTGTACCGTATGGTAGTTGTTTTTTAAACCAGTACTTTAGAGTCCGTACAATGTATGTACACTTCTGTGCAGTTTTGTCTCCAAAAATAATGTGGCTTTAGAAACAAAGCGTCCCTCACTGTTCCTTTTTTTCCCCTCCAATGTTGAACATTTGGTAATATTATTGTAGTTCTATGTGTGGCTGTGTATGTGAAGGTCATGGAGAGTGAGGAGTTTATGCTACTTCCAGTCAACCAACTGATGGAAATCACTGGCAGCGATGAGCTAAATGTACGTAGTGAAGAACAGGTGTACAACTCAGTCATATCCTGGGTCAAATACAACATCCCTGAGAGGAGAGGTGAACTAGCAAAGGTAAAGGAAAGTCACTCTAGAATTTCATAAAAAATATCTAAATGGTGTCGAGATAGGCAAAAATGATGCAAGGAAATATAAAGTCAGTTCTTGCTAGGGGATGTACATGTACTAATACAACATAACCATCTATAAACTTTACATTAGTATATCCGCTGAGATTGTGACTCGGGGATGCTTTGCTAGATTTGAAAGTGGGCCTATGTGTGTTTGCTTTGTCTTTTGAAATACTTAAGCACACTTTTTCCTCCTTATACTGAAACATCCACTTATTTGTAGAGACCAAGTATTGAGTTTATTTCCTAAGTACTGTACTGCAAGATCTTTCTAGTCTATTCTCAGACCAGTACGTGTACTTGATTGGATTTGGAACTCATCTCTCTAAACTTTTGGACCAGAATCTCTTTCATGCTTTTCTTCAATCACCAACAGGTGTTACAGCATGTCCGACTTCCCCTCTTGAACCCCAAGTTCCTGGTGGGTACGGTCAGCACGGATCTGCTGATCCGTAGCGATGAGGCCTGCCGGGATCTGGTAGATGAGGCCAAGAACTACCTGCTGTTGCCCCAGGAGAGACCCCTGATGCAAGGGCCTCGGACAAGGCCCAGGAAGCCCATCCGCTGCGGGGAGGTGCTTTTTGCAGGTGGGTCTTTGTGCTTATGCAAATCTCATGTTTCACTTTGTCGAATACTTCTCTTTTGAAAGCAGCAGATTTTTGGAAAGAAAAAACAGCGTTCCAAGCAGGAGTTTGAATGTTTTTGTGCATGAAAACTTGCCGTTTCTGGTATGTACTTACCTGTAGTGTGAATAGCACGATGTGCCCTTAGAATAGGCAGTATTCCCACTTAAGCATTCCAGACATCCTGAGTTTGACAAGCTGTGTTGCTGGAAGGGACGGACTTTCTCTTAGGTACAATTTACAGTACTATCAATTGCCAATATTCACAAAGTAAATTCTACTCAACAGCTTTAAAGTCCATGATAATGAATGTTTGTTTGGTTATGCTGGACCAGCTCCTTGTACTCTGTGGAATGTGAACCACTTGGCAGGTCTGATGTATGTGCTCTGTGTGACTGACTGACGTGTGACAAACTACAAGGAGCAAGGGTTAATTGCAAGGAATGTCAGGTGAATCGACACCTACATGTAGATAACTTTAAACTCTAATCATTGTTTCCAATCCTGGTAACCAGTTGGTGGCTGGTGCAGTGGTGATGCCATCTCCAGTGTGGAGCGGTTTGATCCACAGAGCATAGAGTGGCGGATGGTAGCACCAATGAGCAAACGACGATGTGGGGTGGGCGTGGCTGTCCTTGACGACCTCCTCTATGCAGTGGGAGGTCATGATGGGTCTTCCTACCTCAATAGCATTGAGAGGTGAGTTTACTAAGGAGTTACCATGACAGAAGTCATTGAAACACGTGAATCACTTTAGTCTTGACAAGCCTAGTCTTGACTGTCCAGTAAGTGTCGGAAGGGGGAAAGCGTTCAGGCATACTGATCTAGCTAGTGTTCCAGACATTTTAAACATTATCACTGGACATTTCCAAAGGCCTACTTCTTTGTTGTAAAGTTTGTGTAGAGATGACTGTCATGGATCAGTGGCTCTGTGCAGTAGTTTCAAGGGGACCATTGTGAATGATCAGTGATGGTGTTACTGTGGTCCCCAGATTTGTCTGGAACAAGTTAGTAATCTTTTCTTCATGGTTTGTGCACAACACCAATGATGCATTTTAAAGCTGCAACAAAGACATTGTCACAGAAAAATTTCAACTTAGGTATAGTGCATCCAGAAATATAAAAGTTGCTAAGTCCTTTTACTGAAAAAATTGAATTTTATGCCAGAATCGCAACCTGTTCTTATAATTCTTGAAAAAAAAGGGTTCTTCATAGTAATGTGAATTATATACATGCACAATGAAATGCTTAAATCGTTGTTACTGGGTGTCATGTTAATCACCCAAGAGGGTGACCCCCAAAAGGTAAAAGGATAACAGAAATATTTCAAAGCTGCTGGATGGAAACTACTTCTTACTAGGTGAAGCAGAAAAGTCAGCATCAATCATATCAAAGCAACAGTGAATGGTTAGCATTGATCCACAGCGTCTGATCATTCGTAGGCCTCTGTCTTTATGCACAAGTACATCTGAAGAGATTTTCTTTTGGACTATTGCGTGAGAATGGGAGATACATCTAGCGGAATTGTGACGTGGAATTTGTAATTACAGTTGTATCTTTTGACTCAGATATGACCCTCAGACAAACCAGTGGAGTAGTGATGTTGCACCAACCAGCACATGTAGAACGAGTGTTGGCGTGGCTGTCTTAGATGGTTACATGTATGCAGTAGGTGGGCAGGATGGGGTGTCATGTCTCAACATAGTAGAAAGGTGAGGTGACTTGCAGTGCTTGTCTTTTTTCTCTTATTGGACAGTTTACTGTTGCTTTTTGTTTGTTGTTGAATCATATTTTAGTGTTAAAGGATTGTTTTCTAAAATAAAAAAGCACGAGAGAATTTGCTTTTATTTTGAAATCTTTATTCATGCTTCAATTTTAAGACTGCCACTTGGAAAAAGAGATGCTTTATAACCGTGTGTTTCCTTGTAAACCACAATGTATACCTATTTTGCTTGTTTTTCTTTAAAGTATGTTCATGGTGGAAGCATTTTTCAGGCAAAATGGAAGAAGTAATAATGTTTTTGTAAGAATCAGGTTAACATCATGTAACACTGAGTGGAATCTGTAACTTGGTATGCACGGATCATGTAAAATGAATATTACTAAAGTCTCTGTAAAGACTTGCTGCCGAGTGGTTTGAAAAATGCTGTGCACATATTCGGGACTTTTCCGTGGTTTTCAGTTTTCAAAATTCTTCAAAAATTCATCATTTCAATTAATGGGCATTTACACCCACGCAAATTACTGTCTGGTGGCCACTCTAGTCTGACAGACAATATCTATTGACGCCTGCAGCCTTGTAAAAAGAGCCCAAATTGTGCAGTGTTATATAACTTTCTTATGTTCACGAACCTGGCACAGTGCGCTGCTGACCTCTTTTCAATAGGGGCCAGATTAGCGTACAGCGGTGCTGTGTGGCTCATCGCTGCGGTGGTGGAGTGCTTTTGTCCCCAGTGGTAATCCGCTCACTCTAAATGCCCCAAACTGTGGTATACTTTTTTAAAACAAGGCTGGATGTTAATGTTAGTAATGCCCAGCAGCCTGGTCTTTTGTTCCAAGTACGGTCTTGTTACAAAGCCCAGTTCCTTTCATCCCATTTGGGGTTTCCTGGCTCCATGTATAATGCCTACATGCTCGAAAACGGGTCCCCCGGCAGCAAGTGGTTAAAAGATACGTATTTATTAGCGAGTTATTTTTGTGTAGGGTTTTAGGGATATTGCGTTTTCACTGTTTGCTTGTATTTACATGTATACATTTGTTTATTCTGTTGCTTTGTCCAATGTCTTTTTTGTAATAAAGATACGAGCCTCATGCCAATCGTTGGACCCGTGTTGCATCCATGAGCACACGAAGGCTGGGTGTTGCCGTGGCTGTTCTCGGGGGTTTCCTGTATGCTGTAGGGGGTTCGGACGGCACATCACCCCTCAACACAGTTGAACGCTACGATCCTCGCTCCAACAAGTGGACCCCGGTGGCGCCCATGGGCACACGACGGAAGCACCTGGGTTGCGCTGTCTATAATGACATGTTGTTTGCTGTTGGGGGGAGGGATGACCAGACTGAGTTGAGTAGCGCTGAGCGGTATGATTCAACCACAAATACCTGGAAGCCAATCGTTGCTATGAACTCAAGACGAAGTGGGGTGAGTTGTTTTGTCCATTTTGTTAGCTCATTGGCATTGTTGATTAATATTTGGTGTGTACAGCGTTTTGAATATCAGTGATTTTGGTAGGTTTGAGAACACCCTTTGATACCTTATAACTTGTTCATGAATTATCAGTTTAGTTTATTTATTTCCACATCTTAAATAAAATATTCGCTTGAATGTAATATCAAAATAACTGAAATGATATGAGGATTCCAGATAAGAAGCAATGCTTGGACAAGATCTGGAACCTGTTTCTAATTATTTAAATAATGGGTTATTACGTATTACAGGATCACACACAGAATAAATCTTCAATGTTTGAATTGATCAGTAAGCCTGTTTTATATTAACTAAAAAAATGTCTAAGATAATAACTATAAGGGATGAAGTGAACTACCCAAATAATGCTCAGTGTTTCCCCTGAAAGCTTGTGAAAAAAAATGGAACCTTGCAAGCTCAGTGGTCGAGAGATACGTCTGCACTAGTAAGCAGGAAGTCGTGGGTTCGAATCCTACTCGTGTAAGCTTGTGATTTTTCACAAGCCTTTGGGGACAAACACTAAGTATACAGTATTATCATTCATGTCGGGCCAGGGCGAAAACTCCGAAATTAAATTAGCATATTCCTGACCAACCCTTTAAACAGAAAAACAGTATTTGGTAGCCATTGGCTCCTAATGGGGAAAAATTTAGGCGCCAGCACTTTTATGAAAATTTAGTAATCATGTGTGTTGAATATTCATGAACGTACGTACATGTACACATATGTAGTATAAATACCCTGCGTTTACATCGTCCATCCATGCCGAAGAATCATGACCTGGCGTGGCACACGTCCACCACACAACTTGCATACAAGCGCCAATGAGGTCAATCCACGAAATCAAGATTTTCGCCTAGGGTTCAGCCACGGACGTTATGACTCCGTAGTTTCAGCGTGTTACAGGACACCCTACTGCATGAATTGCACTAGTTCTGACACTCTAAATCACAGCGACATCCTTTAATTCCGGCATGAGCTCCGTTTCAGGTTTCATTTATGTTGCAGCAAAAATAGAGCCCATGCCATGCTGTGGATTGTAAAATGGCCCTGGTGTCCGTGTACTTAGATCGGGAACCAACCACACCGTGCGTGTGATCGCGACACATGTACATGTAAAGTATGGTACATGTATACATGTATGTACATGTACAGCGCACTCGGTGCGACTCGATGCGACTTGCGCTGCCACTTCTACTTTTCGGGAATGAACTTTAAGTACATAATCATTGCTTTTTTTTAATTTTTAAGCCAAGCAAAAAGACTTTAATTGTTAATATTCAATGATTCCCACACGTTCAAAAATCAAGTACATGTGTTATAGAACTATTATGTCAGTCCTTGTAAAACTTCCATGGAGTGATCTTCTTTGCCCTTGAGAACACTGTTGCAGATGTAACACTGACACCGCACTCATCATGTAGTGCCTGCCTAGTCCATCTTTGAAAAAAGAAAGGATTATTGAACAAGTCAACTGTGATGTATTCATACATGTGTGTTTTACAATCCTATTTAGAAGCACAAAATAAAGTTCTGCAGTCCAACTGAGGGCTGCACTTTTGCATGTTATTGAAGTAATACTGTTGGATCCTCATCTGATGAGTCAATTCCATCAATAGCCTTGCAATAACACAAAACATGACCAAACAGTGTGGGCATCACGGCAACAAAATGATACACAACATAGAGAATCAACCAGGCTTAACCAAATTTTTAGAATGTGAGAAAATAATGAAAAAATAAAATGTCAAAACAATTTCAGGATGGTCATTGTTCTTTTTCAGATTTCCAACAACTGTTGGGTTAACAATGCTGGACAAGAATATACTAGACATGCTTGATATTTACAGTGAATTTGTCTTGAAGTTTTACAAGAAATAAAAACAGTGAGCTGTCTTTCTTCTCCATGTGGCCTGCACACCGATACCGTTTTGCATTTTGTCACCAATAGTTTTTCTATTTGTGTTTTCTATTTTTTTTACATGAAGTACATGTAGGCCCATTGGTAGGGTCAACATCACTGATCTCTATACACTGGATAGGCAGCTCTGCTCCGTGAATTGAAGTGACTGCGCGGCCATCTTCGGCTATTCAATACAATGGTAGTTTCTTAACAGTCAATGGCTTTAGCGCCGTGCATGAATTAACCCTAACTCCCTAGGGTTTGTGCAAAATCATACATGAATGGACTGAAGTTGGAGGCCAATGTATTGAATATCCTAAGATGGCCGCGCGGTCACTTCAATTCACATATAGGCAGTTACTGCTGAGCTGCCTGTCCAGTGTATAGAGGTCAGTGGTCAACATGAAGATGTGGAATGTGACTGTTAGTCTAAATTAAGAATTTCCAGTTTGCAAGTAATTTATTATGTTCATTTTCTGACAGATCAGTCTGCATTCTTGCTTTAAAAAAAAGTAGAGCCTAATGGATAAAAAAATCCATGTGGCTGCCAATACTACATGTATAATCAAAAAGACGATTCATATTTTATTTTCAAAATGGTCAATAGAATGTTCTTGTGCGAATGATAACTGAGCAAGATCATGACTTTGTTGGTTTCACCTACCCCTACAACTGTGGGGTCCGTTGTCCGCAGCCACCATAGCACTCCCAAGGCAGCCCGGCGCACAACGGACCTCACAGTTCCAGGGCCAACTTCAAAGAACATTGACACCAAATAAGAAACCGGCGTAAATGACACTTGGGCTGCCCATGGAAGGACACATAAATATTTTGAAGACTACATGTACACTGTACATAATGCCGATGCAAATGCGTCACATCCTCCATGAAAACTATGCATACAAAAAGAAATTAATCTTACATGTACCTTTGATGCTTTCCAAGCTAAATAAGTTGCATTTCGATGTACATGTAATGCATAGTGTTTGATGTAACGCATACATTTGTGTACATGTATGCCCCAACTTTCAGCTACCGTAACTTACAATGAAACAAAATGGAGGCCCCATGATTGACTGATTGTATTAGGGGTACGACAATTGACCATAAATGGACGGTTCCGCTTTGCATAAGGGTGAATACATGTAGCTTGGTTAATTTACAAAATGTGCTTCGATGTTACAAACTTTTGAGTGACAAGATGGGGTCTAGCAAAGAGAGACTGTGTGCTTCTGGTTTCTGCCTGAAGTTTTGGTGTACTCCATGATAAGGCTGTGTATGGCTTGATTTTGTGTGCACTAATCCGTGTGCTTATTGCCTCAATGAATCGTATCTTGCAAGTTGGTCCTGAAATGTACAGCTTCGCTCACCTTGACTACAGTGTATGTTATGTACAAAAAAAGCCTTGTACCCTGTAGTATTCGAAAAAATAAGCTTGCACTGCATCTTACTAATGTGTAGTGTCCTTTTTTTTGTAGAATCTTAATCATGCCATGTATTTCCACTCACCTTTTCATTTCCTATGTGTCCATCCTGACAGGTGGGGTTGTCTGTAGTCAATGGCCAACTCATGGCTGTGGGCGGCTTTGATGGCACAACGTATCTGAAGACTGTGGAAATCTATGACCCAGAGACAAAATCATGGCGGATGTGTGGTAACATGAACTACAGGAGACTTGGGGGTGGAGTGGGCGTTGTCAAACTCCCTCAGTCAGAATCCAACGTGTGGTGAAGGACACTTTTTGCAGAGCTTTATCCCTTGCTCCTCCTTCGCCTAGCTGTTGATGGCTACACCACAGGTGCAATTTACCACATTGACAATGAGAGGAAACACAGCCCAGACTTGGAGACTTTTCCTGTCTCACCCACCCATCCACCCATCCATGTTTGTTGTTTTATTAGTTGCTCAAGCTGAAATTGTGTATTTAACCACTTCCTGCCGGGGAACCCCGTTCGATCACCATGGGTTTATATGCAGACCCCGGGTGCTTGAAATGGGACAAAAGAGCTGGTCCGTGTAACAAAAAACTGTACTCAGAACAAAAGACCTGCTGCTGGGAATTGCCATCATTTTTCGGCTTCCATTTTTC